TTTAAACTGGTTGAGTTAAACTAGTGCAGAAACTGTGTGTAGATTACAGTATTTCCTGTCCAATGTTCAGAAACTATGAGAAGGCCCCACTATCTTGAAATTGGCTTAACTATGACATTATTAATAAAAATAATTAGGTTGGGTGCCTTTTATTTTTTTCCTCTGGTTTCTAACCAGTTTGAGACACCACAAGAGGCACACTGGGAACGAAAAAAAGTTCCCATGCAGTATGGGCTCAAAATTTGATACCTGGATTTCCAGGTATCAAATGGAAAACAACCCAGAAAAAAGTGGCACAGGGCACAGTTCCCTACCATGCCCTGAGGCAAGCCGGGGCTCGGGGTTCGGGCCTCCAGAGAAGCTCTGGCATCTGGTGTCTCTCTGGTGCCCCCTGCTGCCCTAGCATGCTGCATTCGCATGCAGAGCAAGCAAGAGCAGTGCAAGGCTGTGACCTAGGCACTGTCCCCAGTAAGTAGGGACTGGGGGTGGTGGGGGTGGGGGGGGACTGTAGATGTGTGGGGGTTGTGTGGGGGTGGGAGGACTGGTCAGGGGGTGTCTGTCCTCTGCAGGGCCCATAGCCCCCCCCCCGCCAGAGCAGCAGTGGCCATGGGTGCTGCTGCAGCCAGAGTCCCCCCCATGGTGCAGCATGGCACTGGCCTCCTCAGAGCCAGCACCACCTGTGCCGCTTGGCGCAGGCTTGGTACAGCGTGAACCCTGCAGCTTCAGGCAGCACTGGGGCTGCTCAGACTGTCACCTGGGGCCTGGCCCTGCTCACAGGGACCACGTCACACTGGGCCAGGTTCTGCCTCCATGGAACTGGCCTGGCTCGACAGCGCACAGGGCCCGTGGCGGCAGAATCTGGCCTGGCGTGACACATGGTCCCTGCAAGCAGGGCCAGGCCCTGGGTGACAGCCTGAGCAGCCCTGGTGCTGCCTGAAGCTTCATGGCTCCATACAGAATCAGGCTGGCCCTGTGACACACAGCACAGGCAGCACCAAGTCTGATGCGATTAGGGCCGTGTTGCACCACTGGAGCCTCTGGCCCCATGGCTGGTGCTGCTGCAGGGGGTCGTGGGCTCTGTGAGGGGGCAGTCCATGTGCTATGTGGGGGGGCTGCAGCCTGTGGGGGGGCAGGGGACCCACTCCTCCTGAGCAGCCCCCCCACCATCCACAGTCCCCCACAATACACACACCCCCAAGCCACACCCACAAACCCAACCCCAAACCCCCTCACAAGCCCTATACCCCCCAAACCTCACCCTGACAAACCCTACACGTACCCACAAACTCTCCACAGCCTTCCCCCCCCCACAATTGCTTTACACTTGTAAATACATCAATAAAACATTGCCCAACTGATCTCTCTCTATATAGTGTCATTTCATTTTAACAGTGGAAGAACACTATTTTGGGTATTTTAATGAGAGAATTTGGGTTTCCTATCAGAGTATTTGCAATTTGTAAACAGGGAGCACCAGGATCTCTGCTGGTGAGGTAAGTGGCAAGACCCATGCAGAGGAGCCTGTCCAGGGCCAGCACTGCGGACCCAGCTGGAGGGCAGACGAGGTGACTAACCTCTTGGCCACTTGGGGCCAAGAAGACATGCTTTGACAGTTCAAAGGGAGCCACCACAAGGAGCACATCTGGGCAATAGCTTCCCAGATGGCAAAGAGAGGGCACCTCATCCAAATCTGGCAGGGGCGCAGCCTTGGGGCTGCAGGTCCAAAGGGGCAGATTCTGTTGCAGGTGGCAGCAGGTCACAGCCAAGCAATAGCCTGCACTGCCAGACTGCTGCAGTGGGTAGAGGGTGCAGGGGCCACTCCAGGTTAGGGCTGCTTCAGCAGTCCAGCTAGCACAAGGGGGAGTGTCCCCAGACACCAGTTGGCCAGGCCCCAGAAGCTCTTGTCTGTTTGTGTCATCCCATTATCATGGTCCCCAAGGCCCACCTGGCTAACTAATAGCCCCTATGGTATGGGGGCTAATGCGTGAATGAAGCAACAAAATTCTTGGCACAACAGAGGCAAAAAACAGGATGGGAGTGTCATGTGGGCCAACCAGTCAAAACATGAAAATGAGTGCTCCTGAGGGGGACACCGAGCAGAGCCCCCCCGGTCCATGCCCACTGGTCCTCAAAAGCACAGGTGCTGGCCCCGGGCTTTAGCTCCCCCTGCCTGCATGTCTGGGAGGAGGTGGGCAGGGTTATTTTGCCCCAAATGGCACAACTTGTCCCACACCAAAGTGCATGTCTGGGCATTTGTGCTGAGGCAAAAATCCCTGGCTCAAATTTGTGCCACTCCTATTTGAGCTGCTGCAAGCACATGTGCCTGCACGTGTGGACACATCCTTAGGGTATACTCTGGTCATGTTTTCAAGCTTTTCTCCACAACCATGGGGAAGAGACCCTGCCCTTTTTTTTCTGGAAGGAAAGGCTATGAGTGCTATGCGTTCACATGACTCCAGAAGCTGGGGCTTTAAGAAACTTACCAAATCCCTGAAGTCAGACAAAAAGCAGGGTAGAGATGCACCTTCTAGACTAACTAAATCAGATGCATCACCTTTCTGATGTATAAGCATCTAATGAAGTGAGTTCTTGCTCATGAAAGCTGATGCATCTCTGATTCAGTTAGTCCATAAAGCGCATCTCTCCCCGACTTATACCAAATCCTATGACACTCATGATGAATATCATGAGAGTTGTCAATTCTAGGGCTTAAATTTAAATGAAAGCAAAATCCTGTCCTCATGTGATCTTGATCGTGTCAAGTGCTGCCATTGAACTAAGTGGTAAAACTCCCCTGACATCAGTAGAACCATAGTGGCCTACTCAGTCTCCCTCCCCTCCCCTTGCCCTTGCCCCTTTCCTCATTTATAAAATGGGACCATACATACACTGCAGGACTGTTATAAAGTGGGATTAATTAGTCCTTGTAAAGGCATTTTTGTTTCATATGGAAAATCCTATAGATATTCAAAGCCTCTTTCAGCAGCAGGGACTTAGAGCAGCACACTGTTGCAGCAAGCATTTGATATGGGATGCTGGTGACATGCTGTGGTGACTCATGCAGTGGCTGTGTGAGTAGCCCAAATGAAACTAAAATAGTCCTTGAAATGGAAGGTTCAAACCACAGGCATTTTCTCTTTTGCCTACTGTTATCAAGCTCTGCTTTTTACGATGCAGCACTCAGTGCCCTGTGGTCACTCAGTTACTCCTATGGACGACATACTTTATGCAACACAGAGCAGTTTGTTCCATAACGTGGGATTAGATTTGTTTACCCAGTGTGTTGGGTTTTCTTAGCTTCCTTTTTGTTTTTAACATTCCAGGTCAAAAAGAAGCATGTGCCTCAGACTCTGTGCACTCATGCTGCCAATGAATATATACACAAGCTACCACCAGAGAATATTATTCAGATTACAGAATCAAGTCCTTGAAGTTCCAGAAATGCCACTTACAGTTGTCCTCACAACCTTAATTTAGGCCCTTGGGCATCCAACCCGAATGAGGTAGGGAGTTCTTGGGAAAAAAATAGTATGCTATCTTGTAATTATAAACAGCCTTAATGCACACACACAGAGGTTTGCATGGGCTTCAGAAGTTCCTGAAACTTTGAAGTATTCCAGAGCTTTTTTTTCCTTTTGCCATCTTGTAGCTTCTCTGACGTTGGACAAGTCTTGAAAAATTAGAGCATTGAAAAAGACTTGGGGGGGGGGGGGGAAAAATCACCACGTTCGTATTGTTACATTCAGTGGGATAACAGAAAAAGAAAAGGAGAATGGGTGAAAATAAAATTGTAATTTTCCCCCCAAAATAATATATTTAAAAAATCTGGAACAATGAACAATGCTACTGACTCTAGCTCATTGGTTCTCAATTTGGGTATTGCAATACCCATCTGAGAGATGCCCTGACACAGGTGCTACTGCTGCCATGGCAAAAGCCAGGTAAAACTGCCTTGCGTGCTCTTCCTGCATTAGGGCTCTGATTTAAAGCAGGCAGGAGCTAGTTGACGCTGTGTAGCCCTTCCCAATCAGACCCCCCAGCCTTAGGCCCTAATTATTGTATTCTGGGACTAGATGAATAATAGTTTCCTATTCGCTTCATCCACACGATTTTTAGAGATCTCTATCATAGGCTTTCTTGGCCTTCTTCTTCCCAGACTAAAGTCCTAGCCTTTTCAATGTCTCTTGGTTACAACAGCTGCTCTATACCTCTGATTATTTCTGCTACCCTTTTCGGTACCTTTTCTAATTCTACTTCACCTTTTTTAAGATGTGGAGATCAGAACAGCAGTTAGTAGTCAAGGTATGCATGCACCATGCATTTATACAGTAGCATAATGCTGTTTGCCATTTCATGCCCTTCCTGGGCTGCCTGTGTAGCAGCCACAGGGGGAACTTTTACCTGGAGGCAGCAAAACCCAGATGAGAACCATTGAGATAATTTGAGTCAGCAGCAACCTTGTTTCTCAACTGGGGATGCCACCAGATTTAAAAGAGTGTGGGGGAGGGTGCCTGGACCCTGATAAGGATGAGAACCACTGCTTTAGCTGATGGACTCAGCTCCATTAGCACACACTTTATAATTGAGTGGTGCTCATTCCCCAATCCATGTTCCCAGCAGGTCTGTCACTGCATTTTACTTTCCATTTCTCATCTCCCCATGCAATACAATATTGCAAAATGGTTCTTAGTCCTAAAAAGACCCAATCCTACTATCCCCTTGCATTCAAAGCTCCCTTTTCCTTTAAGGGGCAATCAAAATACACATGGAGCACATGGTCAGGACCTCCGTATTCTTCATAGTCATTCATGCCCCACAAACAGTGTTTGTAGGATAAAAAAGCCTAAAATATCCCTTTAAGAAAACCTTGCTGCCTATGAAGGCTGTGGCTAGATCCCTCCTGGATTTCAGTCTCTTCCTGTGCTTTGCTCGTCTTGTCCATCCCTGCCTTCTCCCTCAGTATCTCTCATGTTACTTTCACAATCTCTTTGCTCTCTTACCTCTTTATTCCCTGTGCTGTATCCATTATCTTTCCCAGTGGGTTTGATAGGAGCTAGTGGTGCCAATGCAAGAGATGGAGAACAGGTCCCATATTCTCTTGCCTCCAGGGTGTCACTCACTGGATGTAGCTAGCTGGTTCTTCACTAACCTGCTCCACCTGGTGGCCAAAAGCTAAATTTTCATTTTAGATCAAGTTACACCTTAGAGTTAGACAGTACTAAAGGCACTTAAACTGTGAGCATCTGCATGTAAAAGCTTGTTCACACATGCTATGTGCCCTCTGAGCCTCTCCAAGTTATGGCACTTAAGGCAAGGGTTAACTCTGGGCTGTGTTACCTAGCATATGTTTGGATTAACTTCAGTCTTCTCTATAGAGATAGAAAAGAAAGAGCAATTTTCACTTCTCGAGGCTGCACCATTCCCAGCTCCCTCCCCATTCAGAGCAGCATGAGAGAGAGAGAACCCAGGTATCCTGGCTCCTAGTCACACCCTGCTTGCCTAGGAGCAAGTCAGAGCTGTGCAGGCAAAAAATGTATTAACCCTTAATATGCAACTACACACAGCATGTTCACAGATCTAGTATGATCTAAATGTAATGTGTATTGTGTTACTTCTTCCTTTGTGGAGCCAACCTCAGGACAGCCTACCCAGAGCTGGTGCAGCTGACTAAAAACAACCCCCCAGTATCAAATTATCCTTAAAGGTGTTGTCTGCACCCATGGCCTGAATCTCCACAGCCCCAAGTCTCAGCTGTAGACAGCTATGGTGGGAGCATGAATCATTCATGATATCAAGGAAGAATCACTTTGTAGGATGTCTGCCCCAGTGACCATCTTTTGGGGCCTGCTCCTCAAGGCAAAAAGTAACAGTGCTTTGGTTCTACATGAAACCTCAGATGCAGGGGAAGGACAGGGTTACTCCCCTACCTCCCATTGCTTGCTGTCGGGAAATTTGTTTCCCATTCCAGAGCTTTGGGACTGGATCTGCCTGTGTTGGTTTCACCACTTTCTTTGTGATTGCCCCAGAGAGAGTGTCAGATGCATCCTGCTTAGCTCTGGATTGCTACAGTGCTGGCTGGTTGCTGGTTTGGAGCTGCCTGACCCCATCTGCAGCCTGTCCCACTCTGCTGATACTTTGCCTCCCTCTTTCACTATATCTGTATGCTTTTCCTTCATTGCCTCTTCCCTCCATCTCCATCCTCTGCCTGGCAGAGCCACAGTGACTCCCACTCACCCTGTGCACAGCTGACATGGCAACAACATGTGAAGATTTCTGTCCCATTCCCTAAATGAAAACAAACTTCTGCTCACAGCTAGGGGGGACAGCTTTACAAAGGCAAGCTCCCCACTGGTTTTTGTAGTGCTGGCACTAGCTGTGCCTGTCACTCAGGAGAGGAAATACAGTCTAAATTAGGAAGGAGTGCAGCATCTGGTGCTGACAGCAGCACCCACATCTCAGAAAGGCAGCGTGCCTGGCAGCCACAAAGGCATAGATCAGAGCATCGGCACAGGGTTCTAGTGGGAGGGGAGGGAACTAGTTATAGTCCCTTATAAGCATCCTATGTGCTTCTGGATAAGATGCAGCATGGAGGAAAGATGGCCTGATGGATGAGATTCTATCCCTGGCCTTAGGACAGCTGTGCTCTGCCACGGGTTCCTTGTGTGACCTTGGCTACACCCACCTCACAAGAAAGGAGCCCCCCCATAGCATGAGATCAACAGACAATCTGTTCTCCATCTCTAGCAGCAGCAAAGCCTTGGCATGCAATTGTATGAAAACTTCAGTTCTGCTGGACTTTGCTCGCCACTGTTAGCAGG